CATTTTCCAATATGACTGGTTCCATTTTAGTCGATTTAACAATATTGTCATTTAATAGTATGTCATTCAAATAGAGTATTGAGTAAATAAATAATATTTTGGGAAAAAAATTACATGAATTTTTTATACATAATGTTATCATAATTCACATGCATAAGATACCCTATCAGGTATTTTAAATACATAAATTAATTATTTTTAGTTTTAGAATATCGTCTTGGACTAATTTATAATTATGTCTAATAATAATCTAATATGGAAAAATATATCCCAAAACCTCAGTTCTAACTAAGTTAGTTTTTTTGTACATAAACATAAAGCAAATTTAAATAAGAAATAGGGTTAAACATCTGGCTGTTTTTCTATTAAAACAAACCACAAAAGTTACTGAAACAGAGATTAAAATAAATTACTTTTTATATTAATATATCCCAAATCTCAAACAACTAGTAGTGATTCGTCATATCACAATTCTTTCATTTACAATAGAGAAAATCAACATAATTCCCATAATGACTTCACTCGCTTTATCTCATTTAATTCTGACATAACCTATAAGTGTGGTGGTTTTTATCAGGTATATGGAGTGGAGATTTTTGGTAGAATGCCAATGCAGGAGTAATTATATACACTTTGGAAATTATCCAAATTTTCTAAATAGTATTTGCCTCAAAACAGTTAAAGGAGCAACTGACATATCATCAGTAAATCTTGAAAAACTATAATACTGAAGATAAAAGACAAAGATAAACTCCTGATTTGTCAATACTCCCAAAAAATACAGGCATAATGATATATATTACAACTTCATAATATATTACTATTTTTTAAAGTGTATATGTATAAAAAGGCAATAAATAGTATATCCATCTATATTATATACAAAGTGTTAATGTTCTAATTATAACGAAAATAGGTGTCCATCCATTTGAACAAATCCAATATATAAATTAAATAGAGCAGTAAAATAAAAATGCGAAAAAAAAAAAACAAACAAACCTCTATGGTATGCAAATGACTACTATATAGAAAAGAAAAGTTTTACATATACAAAAACATATCTTTTATAGGCCTGTAAGTTTCATTTTTTAGATACCTATAAATATTTAATTACAAATAACCGATCATACGTACATAAATATAAAGTATAGAACAAAAAAAGTATCTGCTTCAATCTTGGAATAAGCGCTCGTCACATTGGCCGTTGATCATGTTAGAAAGTACCGTATAGCTTGTTTCATATAGACGCGAATCGCGAATTGCGAAAAGCGATTCGCCAAAAAATATTCGCAAAATTTGGACCTATTTCATACAGTCGCGAATTTTTAGGGACTATTCATTTTTGCTCCACTGAAAGTTACCAAAAAAAATCCTAACCTGAGATAACTTAATTTGTTTTATACATATTTATTCGTGTTTACGATCTTTATTTTATATTTTATAGCATACAATATGAGTTTACATTTTTTTAATAATTATGAATATCGATTACGATTGTGGGATTGGAATAGAATAAGGTGCAAAATTGCCATTTACTTATTGTTAAAACGTAGAAGAGAACGGGTTTATAGTTTATAGCACAGGTTTAAGGTTGTCGCCCACTAGACCGCTGCGCGGCGCGGCGCTGGGAAGAGAATTTTTTCCGGCTGCGAAGGGACTGCGCCCACTATAGCGCGCTTTTGAAACGCGGCAACGCTATTTAGTTATAGTCGAAGTGTTTTTTACTTACTGTAGTTTAGTTTTTAAAGCAATGAGTTCAAGTACGGACGAAAGCGTATTTTTTGCTCTTCTAACAGAAAGAAGGAAGAGGAAGAGGGGGTGAGGAAAAGTTTGGACTCATACGATTAACAAAAAAAGAAAGAAGTTTGGAGAATTTTACCATCTTTTTCCACATTTAATAAAAGACAAAATCATTTTTTTCAGTATTACAAAATATAAAGGAAACATTTTACGCACTCCTCAATTGAGGGTTTTAGAAGAAAAAACACCGGGTATCTACTCATATATATCTACTCATCATATTTTTTCAGAAGAGACAAATTACTAATATTTTTGATAATTCTTATTTATTCTGATGTGTATATTAGTTATGTGGTCAAAAAAACCCTGATCTTTTTTATATATTTAGGTAATTAGAATTTAAAAATTGGAGATTGTCACTTTTGTTAAAAAGTGGAGATTGCCAGTTTTGCCTCTACACCCCTCAATTATATTAAATCTTTGATAGAAAGGCATTTCGTCCATCTGTCTCTAGTGAGGGAAGACTAAAAAAAATATCATATTCCTTTATGAAAATCGATTTGCCTAATTTACCTTTAAAAATACAATTCTGCCATTGATACATATCACTAGTTCCTAGTCAAAAAGCCAACTGAAAAGACTCGAATGCAAAATTATCTCCCTTGTGAGTACGCACAAGGTCATTTATAGGTCATTTATGGGTCATTTGGGACATGTGAAATATTCAAATTTCGTAAGCAACAAGGTGCTTGTCACAATTTAATTCAAGAAATAAGGAAAAAAATGAGAAAAAATTCAGGAATTTTCACAGATTGTCTGTATAGGAGTTTGATAACTTGGTTGAAGTTGAAAAATCGTCACCATATATATCAAAAACATATGCACGAGAACCAAATACGTTTAAATTATTTTAAACGTATTTGACTATGTATTTGACGAGAACCCATTTCAACTGGAGAAATGCTTTCAAGTTATTTTGCGACAGCGTCGTCAAAATAATCGATAACCGGATCACAATACCATTCTGCGCAAACGCGAACCTTAAAATCGCGCGAATATTCGCAAAAAGTTGAAAACACTTTAACTTTCCCGCCCCCCAAATTTTAAATCTTGCGAATCGCCAAAATCTTAAAATTTCTGACAGCGCCGCCATGATCAGTAAAATTGGACCAATGAGAGCAGTTTCGCAAAATCGCAATTCGCAATTCGCGATTCGCGTCTATATGAAACAAGCTTATGATCGAAAAAAAAACGGCGTCAAAGACGGTTGAGAAACACATTCGATGATAATTTTGGCGAGGGCCCAAAAATTAACACTAATTATACCGTGTTGGCAACTGTTACTCTTGGGTCGGTAATTACATGTGTGGAAGCAAATCGCATAGGGATCTTATTAAGTCGGAGGGAGAGAAATGTGACGGTGTGCTGTTGCGGCGTTGCCGATACGCCTTTCCCTATCAGGTAGTAAAGTCACGATCGCAAACCGCTTATTTTTAAAAGACTTTTTTTCGAAAAGATAACTAGATAAAATCATTAGATATGTTTTTGGGCATCTGATATGGATATCGTTAGGGTGTTCATTTTATTATAGCGAGAAAACGTCAGTAATCGCGATAATTTAAAAACTCTAAATTTGAAAAACTTTAACACATAACACTCAAGAACCACTTAGATATTGAAACTTTTTTTTTATTTTGAAGATCGGATCTTTGACAATATGTTTAAATAAAAAAAATTCGATAAGGTTGTTTTTTTCCATTCAAAAATTTTAAAGAACCCTTCCATTTACTTTTAGTGCATAGCAATTTTCAGCAATCGTGTAGCTTTTTTATTTATAAAGATTTTCACATACTGTTTGCAAAGAAAATATAGCAGAAATATTAAGAAAGTTTTTGAAAAAACTAACAATCAATTATTTCTAAGCGAGTTCTAATAGCGCGACCACTGTCGAACACCAACTCAATTTCACTTATTTTTACCAAAAATGCAAATGTTTCTAACTTGCACTTAAAAATGTTAAAGCTATAGGGAAAATTACAACGACTCGTTAATAAATAAACAAATAAAGTATCACGAGACGTAATGAAATCGTGAAGCTGAACGCATGATGTACACCTCTCCCTAGAACGTTAAGTACTGACAGAGGTACTGATTAGCTCGACCGCTCGACTACGACAAATCTGCTATATCCCCTTCCTATGTGCACAGTTTCTCGGTTTATTTCATACCTTTGGCAACGTGTTTACTGTTCTCTCGTTCAGTACATTATAAACGCATTATACTCTTTTACATACGGAAATCTCGATCCAAGATCAACCTTTGCCAGCCCTTAGTAGTAAGGTAGAACGTTGCCAGATTCTATTTCCAAAAAAAACTATTTTTTCATTTGTTTTTTTTTTTGTTATCTCTTGAAATATTAGTTTTAGAAAAAAGTTTAAATTATGAAAGTTTTAGTTTACTTTAATCAACCCTTTTTATGATTTTCGAAATATACGGAACTTTTTAAAATTCTACCTACTTCATATAATTTGCTGCTACCAGTGTATGAACCGGTGAATGTTGAAAAGTGCCCATAGTCTCGCACGAGTATGGAGGGTAGAGATAAGGAGAAAATCTCTTATGGGACTTTATTTGAAGAAGTGGTCACCAAAATGGGAAGAATAAAAGTTCAAGACAATAAAGGAGCGAACTGTATTAATTAATACTGTAAAGGCCATATTTGATTTAAAACAGTACCATCTAACCACAATCATTTTATAGTACGATTACTAGCTTATTTTGAGATATTCGGTTGCCGATACAATTCTAGTTGCCAATGTTAATAAGAAAATAAAAGTTAATTCTGTTGCAGTTGACTTATAATGTTTTACTAGTACCGTATGATGGAATAAAAACGGCGTCAGCGATCGCTATGAAGATCTCTGTCATTTTATATGGGAAATGTCATCGACCGTCATTTCCCAGCCAACTGGACGCCGTTTTTTTTTCGATCATAAGGTATTAAGCATTAGAGGACTTTTAGAGAATTATTGGCTACCAACTGTTATTTCATGCGATGACGTAACTGCATTGATTGATTGATGATCTAGTACTTTAATTTTCCAACATCAAAAACCGCCAATGAGAAATATTCCAAATTGTAGTGTTTAATGGATAAGATCTCGTTAAATAAATTCAAATTGAATAATAACTTTACACCTTTGGCGTTATAACAGCAAAATATTAATTTACCACAATACACCAAGTCACTAGCTCTATTTAAAACAGATACCGTACGAATCGCTAAGCATATTAGCAACATCAGCATTATGAATTTCAAGTGTTTTAGAGTATTGTTAAATTAATGTTAAGGTGTGTCTACATGTAACGTTTTACAGGCCAGTCTTATCTGTTCAGGCTTTAAAAGGTATCTAGTAAAACATTGTGTATAGACGAAAAAACGGACATTTTGAACTGAATTGTTGAATTGAAATTTAAACCATGAATACACTTTGTAGTGAAATTTCAGCTTTTTTTCAACTTCACTAAACACAATGCTATAATTAATTGACAACTGCAGGTAAAACTGTAAAAAAAACTGTCCGTGTTGAAGAGTTTTTGATCCGTCTTATCTGTAAAATGATTTGTCTAGACGCGATCAAGACGTCTATGGAACTGCCGCACCCTAGACACTCTACCTTTTTAACTGACAGGTACGACGTTCTGTGTAGACTAAGCTTTATTTTGCTCAATTTGAATACCCCCCTTTTGAAATCCAGGTACATATAAAATTTAAATATCAGTTAAAAATAGTAAATTTTAACCAATATGTATAAAGGACACTGAATATTATACATATAACGAATATAATTTTGAAACTATCTGAACAAATATGCAAAAATATATATTTGTACAATCTCTATTTCCATTTTAAGGCCTTAGCAAGCAGCTTTCCCGATAGATATGGTCAAAGGTTAATCGTATGTACTATGATACATTTAAACTACTTATCAAGGGAATAAGTGCTTGCAACTGAGAAATAACTTTAACAACGGTGTGCCACATAACAATTTTTACCAAGGAGAATGCATTAGATGGTATTGATGGTTTTATATACGCTAATTGGGTAAAACAGAGATACCCTCGTTCGCTGTTGGTAGTACTACGGTGCTGGCTTGGGGCGATTCGCCATCAGCAGTAATTTGAATTTGATGTTGAGGTACTTGAATTTGTACGGGTATTTGGATTTGACTGTTGGGACCCTAAAATATAGTTGGATACATAGAAAAATGAAATAGAAGTGTTTTAAAGTGTACTTACCCCTGTACCGACTTGAATGGTAACTTGAGCGGTACCATTCGTGATGGGACTGCCGCTCAATTCGGTAGCTACTGCCTCCGGATTGCCGCCTGCTCTTATTATAGCTTGTGCCCTTTCTGCTTGTTCCTATTCAATATAATTATATAAATTATAAAAGTATAAGTATATATCATACGATCGGAAAAAAAACCGGCGTCAAAGACGGCTAGGGAACGACAATAATTGACGATAATTTTGGCGAGGTCAAGCCCTAGACATCATTACTTGGCCCGTACTCTTATCATTACTTTATTTTTTAGTGGCTCTTACTGAGAGTGGCCTTAAGAAGATTGAAATTTATTTTTATTTGAGTAAAAATGATTTTTAAATGGTGTAATTTGGTAAAATTCGAGAAAAAAATATGTTTTAGAAATAGATTTGTGTCTGGAAACGTTCAATCCTTCTTTAATCTTTATATAATTAGGTTAATTTTTGACAAGTTTTATGTCAATTTTTAGTAAATGATGTATAGAGGTTGACCTTGCCAAAATTATCATCGATTATCATTTCCCAGCCGTCTTTGACGCTGTTTTTTTTTGGGATCATATGGTATTTTACTATAAAATACAAGTAAGTATATATTTTTTAAAATGAACAGGTTTTTTACATTTTTAAAGGTTGTTTTATTAGGTATTTACTCTATTTTAAAGTCGATTAACTTTCCTTCTATTTTACTACTTTTACTAAAAATATCAGAAGTTACACATCTAGTGATTTATGTTAGTGAAATTTATTTACTTGGTATGCTTGGAATTGCGTAATGCAATTATAAGTACTACAATATACCGGGTGTGTCTCAAAAGTGGCTCACCCCTATAACTTTTTTATTTTTTCGAATAAAAAAACGAGATTTGGTATGTTAGTATATGACATAAATTAGGATTGATTGACATATTCAATTGTTTTCGGTTACTTTCGGTTTCACCGGAAATGAATACAACTTTTGATTTTTAAATGACACCCCCGGGTTTTTTTTTCTTTATTCGATAGAAAATGACACTCTGAATAGAATGACATATCACATGTCAACTTTTGACATTTTCGCATATGATTTATTTGAAATAATAATATGTGGTTCATAACGACAATTTGACTCGAAATACCAAGTGTGTGGTATCAAATTATTCGTAAAAAAATGCTTTTTGCAATTATGCTAATGAGCCACCCCCGGTCCATTTGAAAAAATTGAGATATGATTAAAAATACGATTTTGACATCTTTTAACCGACCAGGACAAGACACTAAAACATTAGACGATCAAATCTATTTTTCCAAGACTCTTTGAATAAATATTAGTGTTTTTAACACAGTCATGGCACTCCAGATTGAAATTTAAAATACAAATTTGTTTTAAGCGAACGTGTCAAAAGTTGACATATAATGTGTCATTCGATTCAGAGTGTGATTTTCTATCGAATAAAGTAAAAAAATACCGAGGGTGCCACAAAGGGTACAAAAATCAAAAGTTGTAGTCATTTCCGGTGAAACAGGAAGTGACCGAAAACAATTGAATACGTCAATTAATCCTAATTTATGTCATATACGAACATACCAAATCTCGTTTTTTTATCTGAAAAAATAAAAAAGTTATAGGGGTCAGCCACTTTTGAGACGCACCCGGCATACTTATCATCCAACTCAAAACTTTTCCCTTATCTAGGATATGTTAAATTCTTTCAGAAGTCACAAGACCCTTGTATATATTTTGGACAAAGAAAGTTCAGGGATCAATTAAATTGAATCAAAATGCAGAAAATTAGGTAAAAAATGCAGCATCAAAATTACACAAGTAGGTACCAGCTTGGTTGCTACAACTTTTCTTGCATGCAAGTAAAATTGCCAACTGTAAAACGGCCTTTAGATTCAGAAAGAATTAATTATTGATTTATTGTATGGCAGTTTGTGGTCCTTTACCAGTTCAAACAGGCAACAACATACATACCTTTGCTCTTCTAGTAATATGACTTCTTGTATGTTTACGTAGGTGATCTTTCCTGTAAAAACCTTTGCCACATTCACCGCATATTTCTGTTTTTTCGCCCGAGTGAATTACAAAGTGAAGATTCAGATGTTCCTTACGTTTGAAACCTTGAATAAATATACCAAATTAATACAGGGTCATATACAGGGTGGTCCGAACTGTATTCCGGAAACTTCGGCAGCATATTTTGCAGATGAAAATAATTAAAAACGTTCGTATAAATGTATGTCCTAAAATGCTTAGTTTCAGAGATACAAGGTATAGAAGTTTCATTTTTATTATGATTTTTTCCAAATACTTTCTGAAGTAACGTCAATATTTGCATGAAAATTGGTGTCTGGGAGTTTTTTGACATGAGAAATTTCATTTTGATATCTCAATATGATTCCTATTTTTTTGTAGGGGGAGCCACCTACATGTTTTAACTGTTTTGAAGAGTAATAACTTTTCATCCGTACCTGTTGGTTATAACTTTTAATTTTATCTAAATGGCTCAAAACTATGAAAAAACTTATTCGGATCATTTTCGAATGGTGACGGAGTATATGGTGGACAGTTTTTATATAGACAATTTAAAATACTTAAGTGCTGATATCAAGAAGTTAAAATATCGATTGGATACGTTCAATAAAAAGAGGGCTTCTGTACATTCAAACAAAAAGTACACCTGAACATTATGTGACTGCAATGGTAAAAGTATACAGAAAGTGGAGGGAACTAATTTTTAAGCTGTGGAGCTAACACTGGTGATTTTTAAATTATAACTAAATATGTAGGTTTTTATTTATCTATTTATATTTTAATTTTAGGCGGCATGTAAACATTATGTCATACATAACAAATAAAATCAAGAAAGGTACCACGCTATGATTTATGTAGAATGAAGGAAGATAACATCTTACTTTCTAGCAACTTTTATTGCCATTCTTGCCTTCTCATAATATTTATATTTTAAGTTCTTGTAGCGGGTTAATTGTAAATTGACTGCCCTGATATTCAGTAAGTCTTATCACCATCAAAATGTAAATTATTACAATATTGTAATTAAAACACTTTATATTTACTTCCCTTTTAATTTAATAAATTTAAAAAATAATAAAATATGTAAAATATATATATGTAATACACTGTCGCTACGGGGTATCCATGAGAGGGGAAACGATATTCTCTCGATGTTTTTCGTAAAAAAATAGACGTCTATCAATCCCCGTCCCATCAATAAAAATTCAACAAATTTGCAAGTAGCCAATAAAATGAGTGGGCGGAGCGATTTGCGGTGACGCACTCGTCAAATCGACGTATAAAATATATTGCTGTTTATTTAAATGTTTTTTGTCCGCATTCCTTTCATAGACACACATCCAGCAGATGTACTGTATGTTTCCTTCGAATCTTCCTGATATATATAACACTCTTAAAAAATAATATTTTATGCTTATATAATAAACATTATTGATCACATATTAATACATTTAATAACAAAACTTTCAAATAAAATATTTACTTGATTTTATGTAAAAAGGCACTGCATTAGAGCCTTATTTTATCTATACAATGTATTTTATTAATAGTCTTCTGAAATAACTTAACCATGAAGGTATTTATTAACATTCTTGGTGCCAATCATCTTCTCTAACTTTTCTTGGTCAGATACTAGACGTACTTTTCATGATCAGATTGTAGCGTACCTGTTTTATACCATAACTGTGAATACTGTGATTTTCCGGAAATACTATTAATCTTAGTTATCAGGAATTACATGTTTTTCAAATTAATTTTTCCCCACCTTCTTCCACATGTAAAAAACAGGCCATTAATGATTTAACAAATCAAACATAATATAAACTAACTTTGAAATGTTTTGAAATCACATTCATAGCTTAAGAGAAATTTTCTGAAAAAAACATCATTTACGATTTTCCGTCTTTTTTCGGCGCGTATAAAAACATTTTATTATAGTTACTGGTAAATGTTATCCAACAATGGAACAATTAAATTTTTAGCGTTATTGGAAATAGTTTAAATGCAAATTTAATTTAAAATCAAAAAAGTTTATTTCGAGACGAAAACCAGCTAATCATATTGGCGAGGGCTACATACGTCATAGAAGCGCGCGTAAGTGTGAAATTCAAACTTTTCCCCATTTTTTGGCATAATATTAAGTTTTATATAAAAAAGGCTAAGTAGCAAGCACTAATTAGGTTGAAATCTGTTTAATTACGTGGAATTTGAAAAACATGAAACATGCCCATTTATGTCAATGATACTTCAGGAATCGTTATTTCAGGAATTATTCGGAAAAAATCGAAATAAAACTGAAACTTCTACACCCTGTATCTCCGAAACTAAACAATTTAGGACAGACATTTATACGAACTTTTTTACATATTTTATCTGCCGAAGTTTCTGGAATACAGTTCGGGCCACCCTGTATAACGCAATGCAATTATATTACCTTTCATACAAACAGAACAAACAAAAGGTCTCTCTGGATTATGTCCCAATTTATGCCTCTCCAAGTGTTCCTTTCTCTTTAATCCTGCTCCACAAATATCACAAATAAATCGCCTTTCGATCTTGTGTCCCACGAGATGTTGTTCCAGTAACTCCTTCTCTGGGTAGGCCATGTGACATTCCGGACAACAGAACAGAGTCGTTCCGTCTAAAGCTGTCGCAATATGAACCTGTTTAAAATATTTGATGTTAGGTTTTATCGGCAAAGTTTTTAAGAAGCATTTACCTGGCCTGGCTTAGGTTTTTTCGGCTTTGGTGGTTTTTTCTTGTACTTCTTCTTTTTCTTGCCAGTTTCGGGAGTTGTTTCTTCGGGAGTTTCTTCTTGTGTCATTTCAGAGAGACTACCCATTACTAAGTGCTCCTGAAAGTTGAACTAATTTTTGGAGGAAACGAAAACCCAAAATTAAAAAAACCAAACAGGATGCAAACTAAATCAAATCGTATAACCAATACTTTGCTACATAATACAAAATATAAATATTAAGAAATGCAAACTAAAACTAAAAACCGACACCCAGATACAATATATTTATCCAGATTAGATTTATACGTATGTAATACCTACATGATCATCGGGATTGTTTAAGCTGACAGCTTCGAGAACGCCATCTTCCGTGATAAGTTCTCTCTTGATATCGTGGGTGTTGAATTTTAAAAACTGATGAAGGGAAGTCAAGGGTAAAGGCGTCTGCACCTGTTAAGGTTGCGTACAAATATTATATATTTTACCGAAAAAGAAATTTTAATAAAAAATATGAATTTTCCGAGTAGTCAGTGTTAAATGTAAACTAACTCTAAGTTCTTTAACCCTCTAAGTTTCTGTTACTACTTTTTTTTTCCATATAGGCATGACTATTGTCTCCATAAAGCACTATTCACCATAAGGCTTTATAGTGCTTAGTCTTTTCAATGATAGTTTGTCAAAAACTTTTGTACTAGATCCGAGATTGTACATGTTCTTTTACCAGGTTACTTTAAAATTCTGGATCTACTTTTCATTACAGCAACAGAGTATTTGTAGTGTTTTATGCGTGTTATACTGTTTCTGTTTTTTTTTTGTTACAAAGGTAGCCCCCCAGAGTAAGGATTCTAGTTCAAGTATGAGAGATATACCGGGTGCTTTTTTTTCCAAAGTGGCTTACGAAATTTCACAAAACGAAATCGGGATTGATTGACGTATTCAGTTACTTTCGGTCAGTTGCTGTTTCACCGGAAATGACTATAACTTTTGATTTTTAGACGATACCCATGATAGAAAATGATATTCTGAATAGAATGACATATATTATTATAGTCAACTTTCAACATATTCAATTAAAAAAAAACTGCATTTTAACAGTCTAGAGTGTCATAGCTGTGTTAAAACCATTAATTTTTAATCAAGGAGCTTTGAAAAAATAGATTTAATCGTCTAATGTTTTTTTATGTCATTTAAAAGATGTCCACATCGTATATTTAACCATAACTCAATTTTTTTCCAAATGGAACGAGGGTGGCTCATCAGCATATTTGAAAAAAGCATTTCTTATGAATAATTTGGGGTACCACCTACTTGGTACTTCGAGTCAAATTGTCGTTACATTTATGGCTATGGCACTTCAGATTAAAATTAAAATGCTATTTTTAATTAAAAATGTCAAAATTTGATAATATGTTATGTCTTTCTATTCAAAATGTCATTTTCTATCAAAGAAAGTAAAAAATACCGAGGGTACCATTTAAAAATCAAAAGTTGATGTAATTTCCGGTTTAACAGTGACCGTTGGCAGCGAATGAAAATGATCAACCAACCCTTATTTATGTCATATAGCAACATACCAAATCTCGTTTCTTTTTATCTGAAAACATAGTGGCGAGTAACTTTTGAAAAACACCCTGTATAACATATTTCATACTTTTTGTCTTTACGAGAGGAAATCTTTTTTAATACTATCATTTTGAGGAAAATGCGATACGTTAACAACAGAAAAAAATATGACGTTAATCACAATCAATCAAAATTAATAATAACAATCTATTAAAGAATGAAATCGAAATTATATTACCATAGAAACGCCTTTTTGTTTTTAAAATTCAACCATATTTTCATGTTTTTTTTCCTAATTTTCTCTAAAACGGTATGGAAATTTGGAAAAGTATAAACGGGATTACCCATTTTAGAACAAGCAAAAATTTTTTGTGAATGCATTTTTCTCAAAATATCAATAAAAAAGTGTTTCCTCTTGGAAAGACAATCCGGAGACATACTGTACATGTATCGTACTAGAAGCTCGTTATGTTAGTCGTCGCCAAAAAAAAAATTCGATTAAGTATAGTCTGTTCAATGATAAAATAATGACAGTGACAGTTATTGTCTGTTATTTTTGGATGTTGTCTGACGAAATCATCCCTTCTTTCGTTGGACAGACTTTATCCATCCATTAGTACTAAAAATTACATGTTATATTTAAGCCAAAAAAATCCGTTATTCTCTTTAAACCCAATAAAATAGTATCTACCTTCAAATCTAACCCTCATTAAAGAATAAACAAAAATGTTAGAATACTCGTTAATAATTCCTTTTAGAAAATTTGTGGTAGTTTATTTATAGAATTTGAAGACTTTTTTGTGTAGTGTATTTATTTGAATATAAAACAGAAAGATAAACAATTATTTTTGATATTTTGAATGACTTCATGTAATATTATAATGAGTATTCAATAAAAAAGGACAATTAAAAAAATAATAATAGGGACACCAACAAATATAATACTAAGATAAAACAAAACAGAAAAAACAATAATATATTTATATCATACAGTGCGTAGACCAAAAATTTCGTAACAAATGGAAATAAATGAGTTCAAGAAAAAAAGTCAAAAGTCAATTAATTATAGCCAATACCAAAAAAAAATAATTTTGTCATATTATGTCATGGGCTAGATGATAAATATCGAAAAATGTCAAAGAGAAAAGTTGTTCAGAATTCGATTTTACATCCATATGTTAATTTTCATTAATAAACAGGGACTTTCAAAATTTTTATTTTTTCGGTAATTATTCCAAAAACTCTTATTTTTTCAGATGTAAGAAAAACGGCATATATTATAAAAAACAATTCATACAGCAGTAATTTTTCTTTACTCCTATACTGCCTACACTGTATAGTATATCTTAAATAATATAAGCTTTATAAGTTTAGTATCTAAAAAATTGTAAGAGAAAACAAATATATACGTATAATAAAAATAATTCATACAATAGTACTTTTTTCATTATACTGTCTATACTACTCCACTGTATACTACTATACTATCTGTAATATAAACCATGGTAATAAGCTTAGTATGATGAATATTGTAATTTTATTTTTTAGCGATTATTTACAGTAAATAAAAATTTACTGTATTAGATTTTTAAAATATATATTTTTTTGAAAGTCCCTTTATAATTATAAAATTGTTATATAGATATAAACCGAATTTGAAACAACTTTTCTCTTTTGGTTGTACACAGTAAAATAAAGCCGGATAATAACTGAGTTTAATAATTGTTTACAGTAATTTTACTATTTTTAGCACATTCATTTTTTAAATGAATAATTCGTTTTCACATAAAATAAGAAGTTAAAAGATAACCTACTCTTATTTTATTTGCTTTTTATATGGCCTGTATGAAAGCAACTACAATGTTCCATATAACAAGTGATGTAAAATTACCAGTAATTTACAAATTGGTAATATTACCAGTAATATTACGGTAACATTTGTAATTTATAAAGAACAGTTTTTTAAATAATATTAATTTTCTATTTCAAAACTAAAAACATTACAAAAAAGACACGAACGTTTTCTAAACTTGTCAGTCAGAGTGGTCTATATTATAGTACGTAATAAAAACGTTGGGGTCGCACCACTCTGGCACTTTGTGCCATTGTATCGGTTTTTTAATCGCGGTGCGATCCCTTTAGACACACATTTATTAATACTAATATTATTCTGTAAAACTTAATGGGGTCTAATAAAGAAATTTGAATTTGAATTTGAATTTAATAGAGTGGATAAAGGTAAAGCATCCTTAATATCGTCATTTCATTTCTTTCTTCCACCATTCTTGGATGTTCTCCATAGTAAATTATAATAATTATAGCCAATATATGTAAGTTTTCCGGCCCTTTCTACGGTAAGTCTCTCTGTGTTTCTTTTTGTACTAAAGGTTCTTTAGTTTGTGGCCGTTGACGATGGTAAATTTAAATGTCTACAGTACTTATTTTCAGGGTTGGAAAAAATGATGATTTTTTTTAAAAAATTAAAAAAATCAGATTTTTTTATTTAAATCAGATTTTTTTGATTTTAATTCAAAACAATATTTAAATCGGATTAGGGAGGACTTATTTCCAATTAAAGTCCTATCCTAGATAGCTAAATCTTTATAACTGTCCGATACCGATGACATCAGTTCTACGGCGCGTATCATTTTTCCACATCGATAGGTCACCAATATATTCCGCAAAAAAAGTCGCTCGCTTCAGATCAAAAGGATTTTATTTCCAAACATCTCAAAAATATTAACTTTTGTGATTTTAACGCCTAAGCACAAAAGTACAACAATATATTATTAAACAGATATTGAGTGTCAAATTCAACGAGTGTACAAATTGTTGCTCGATTACTGTACATATTATTTGCAATGTTTAAAATTTATTAAAAATTATTTGTAATGTTTTGTAAGAAATAGTATGTTCTAATCGGAGTAAAAATGTGCCTCTCTGTAATAATCTTTTATTTTTTGTGCCTCCCTGATAATATATCGTCATCGTCGGAATAGCTTTACGATGGTCCTTTAAAGGTACAGCATCGTCAAAAAAAGTATAGTTTTTACTCATAATAAAACAATACACTATTGTTCGGAAATAGTCTTAAGTCAATAAAAAAAAAAAAATAATTGCATAAAATCAACGGCGGATGATGCATTACGGATGCATGCAAACCCACACTTGCTCTTTTTGATATTGTATCACCTAAACCCACTTTTTACATGTTCAAGGACATATTTGCCACCCTAACAGGTAACACATGACATATATTTTTTGACCATATTTTTTAGAAATACATTAATATTTTTCCCGTTTGTTGCGATTTTTTTAACGAGCACTGTATCAAAATCAGATAGGCTTTTGCTAAATCCAGTGTACTTAAAATCAAAATAAAGCAAAAAAGCATAACCATATAAAATAAAAGGTGGACTTTAAAAATACGACATAACTACACTAAAACATAAAATTTCCATATGCTCCACGAACCTACCTTTTGAAAATATTCTTGTAAACTTGTCATGTTCTGCAAATATTGGGCAGGCACAGCTATTGCTTCTGGTTCTTGCTCCTGGTCAGTTTGTTGACCCATATCTTGATCTTTACACATCTCTGTCAAGAAGAATGACAAGTAAATAACATAAAAAAAAGTTTGCTAATTTTGTTCTTTCGAAGATTGTCACACTTGTTGATGTTTTTCAATTCTGGCAAGGCATAAAATTGTCCGTACCTGTTTTTATTAGAGCTACTGGCACAGGATGAATCGGTTCTTTATCGTCGTTTTCTTTGTCCTGTTGATCACTTTGCTGCTGCTGTTGCTGCTGTTCTGCTTGGGCCTGCAATAGCTGTAAGTCTTGAGGCTGCAAAGCTGCAACTACTGTCATTCCTTCGAGAGCGCTCTGGCCATCCAGCTGGTTTATACCACAATTATTGATATAGTTCTTTGATATGAAAGGATCAATTTAAATAGTCGATAATCCGAATGTGTATAAATTTCAGAGAAATAAGTACATCTAGAGGAGTTCGAACCGTCACGTTTTTGTTTAGATCTTTCAATGTTGCTACATTTATTTCACTAGTGGAATATTCATAAATGAGAATTAACTAAGTAGTAAAATATAATTCAATATTGAATATTATACAGTGTGGTACGAATTGTATTTGGAAAACCTCGCCAAAATATCCTGCAGATAAAAATAAGTGCATATAAATTTACATCCAAAAATTCATCGTTTCTGAGATACAGAGTGCAGAAATTTCATTTTTATTTCGTTTTTTCGAAATAATTGAACTAAACTAACGTTGATACTTGAATGAAAAGTGGTGTCTGGGTGTTTTTACATGACAAATTCGATTTAGATGTTACCAAAGTTTCCTAATTACAATTCGGTCCACCCTGTATATTAGTATAATGGAAAATGTCTAGATATAGCACAGGTTATTCAGTACTAGCAGGTCAAAATCAATCAAAACATTAGCCTCGGTCCTTTTTTTTAAGTGAAGGCTCAATACAAGTAAGAACCTGACTTTTTATATAAAATAAGGGAATATCTAAGTAGGCAGCTTTGCCATGCAAATAATCGTAAGTCGGCAGGCTAGTTATGAATAGGCTGTGGATATAGTCTATCCAAAAAGAGAAGGCATGTCATTGACAATTATTGTCTGTTATTTAAGTAAATAAACCAGTCATATAGTCTATAAAATGAATAACTTTGAATTTTGACCGTTATTTTTTACCAACATGGCAAATATAAAATCCCTCTGTCAAAAAAGTTATTGATATTCTTTAAATTGAGTGCCTGAACGTATCAGATAGGTAACTCTTTTTACTTTCGTGAAATAGAAAAGGAAAATAATAAAACAAGTGACAGTTCTTCCTTTTCTTGCAAATATCAACACAAAATGTAATAATTGGAATAATTGTCAAAGGTAAAATGTCATCAGCTTTTGACATTTCTAAATATCAGACCAATGCCGTCTCTAATAGAACAGCCTCGGAGCGAGATTTATGACGTCACGCTAGTTAGATACTTACGGATTAATAAATATGCTGTAGAACATATGGAAAACATAATTATTTCTCGTATTTTTGGTTTGTATTTTAAAAATGATATAGTTTACATGAAATATACATAATATACAGTTAATAAATACCTACAATATATATACCTATTTATAGCAATAAATACTTTGGCAAATAAACTATGAACCATACAAATGCAGCAAATGATTTACAATATACATATAATGAATAGGTACATAAGATAATAGGTATAATGTAAAATATATTATAAATTTTGGGGTTCGAAAATAGATCTAATTTAACAAAAAACATTCAATATCTACTAATAGTGATGTATTATTATTTGCATTCACAAAATTTATATGTATATTTTGCAAGTATCAAAGTTCGAAAAATTATATTTGCAAATAATAAAATATCATAAAAAAAGGCGTCAGCGGTGGCTATGAAATAAAGATCGCTGTCATTTTATATGTAAAATTATTCTAAAATTTTTGATTTTTTTGGGGTTTAGGTTCGGGAAAAACGCTGATTAAGTTTTTATTAGGATTTTCATTATTTTTTTTTTGGTTAAAAAAAAAGGTTTTGGCTAACATTATAGCCTTCATCAGTGTTGTGTCATATAAAAAAAATAGTGTCAAATATAATCCAAAAAATTACATATAAAATATTCACAACCTAACCTAACACCTCATAATGTTTACTGCAATTAATAAATTAATATAAACTTGTCAAAAGATGACCACATATTTTTTAAAATTATTATTCTTAACACTAAAACTATCTACATTGACTATAGAGTACGATTTCAGCCATAATCAATGTAACCAAAAATACGAGGAATAATTATGTTTTCCATGTATTCTACAACATATTTATTAATCCATAGTATCTAACTAGCGTGACGTCATAAATCTCGCTCCGATACCGTTTTATTAGAGACGGCATTGCGTCAGCATGGCCGTAAGTTGCTAACCTAATAAAATTAACACTAGAAAAGCCCGCGCGAACTGTCAAATTCAAAGTTATTCGTTTCACAGACTATACCTTAGGTACTTCGGGCACATTTTGAGAAGAACAGATGGAGTAGAAAAAATCATAATCGAAGGGAAGATTAATGGCAAACGACCAAGAGGAAGATCTCCGACGCGCTGGGTGGACCAATCCAAAAAAATTATTGGTCACGGCCTGCAAGAGGCTTCTATAGCCGCTCAAGATAGAGATGGATGGAGAACAACGATCCGAGCAATTGAGACATGATGTCTCCATACTCTTTCGAGGTGGGGCTGCATTACAATGGCGCAAACGGATCGTGGCTATCTTGATCGGTTTCGAAGCTACAGGGGGATTCTCAACTTGGTACTTTTTGAAGATGTTCGATAGTTTGTTTAATTCAGCAACCACGGAGAAATGAATTATACATTCTAAAGGCACTTTTCTGTGCAGAATGCAGTGGCGTAGTCAGACTTTTTTCGAAAAAAAAAATATTTTTTTAGATATTAACCATACTTATGTTTTTTTGTTTAAATAGAACCCCCTGTATATTTTTAAATTTCCTGATTCAGCTTGACATGGGCTTCTCGAAAATATATAACACTATATATTTATTTTCACTGTTATTCCAATTTATTTAAAGAGGTCTATTTTCCTCTTGGTAGGTAATGCCAAATATTAAAGGAAACAAGCGAATATCTACTTTCAAATTAATCCATGTATTAGCAATTAAATAAAGTCGAACAATACAAAGCAAATAAAAAATAAGTGTGACAAGAAAAACAAAAGAATATATTCTAGTAAAAACTCAACAGGTTGCTTCAATCGGGCTTCTCAGTTAATATTTAAAAAAAAATAAAAACACAAAGACTACATTAAATGTTCAAACTGCTGCCCATTATTATCTAGACAGAGTTGGCACCGTCTCCGCACGCTGCCGCTAACAGCATTTCGAATGAGTATGTTGGTTACACTTTGCAAAGCCACAACAAAACTATCTTGTAACTCTTCTAATGTTCTATTTGCATTTCGATAAATTTCGTTTTCAGAAAGCCCCAGAGAAAGAAGTCCAAGGGAGTGATATCAGGTGACCTAGGTGGCTACCTGATTAGTCCATTGTTTGAAATCCATTTTTGTTCAAAGTTCGCGTTGAGATATTCGACTACAACTACCGCAGTATGAGCTGGAGCTCTATCTTGCTGAAAGAATATTTGTTCACCTTCCCTCAAAGGGAAGTTATCTAAAAATGGAACAATGTGTCTTTCCAAAATTTAAAGATATCAGTGAGAATTTAAATTCTCTTCGTAGATTTCATAGGCAAGAGCTCTGTTACCCAGTAAAGCAACACATACGTTAAATCCAAATCGTCTTTGTGCTACCCTGTTTACTTGTTGATCGGGATTTTGATCTGCCCAAATATGATTATTATGTGGGTTGAATATAACATCACTTGAAATTCTTGACTCATCGCTCCAGATAATCTGATCAAACAACAATTCATTTTCTTCTAACATTCCCAAATACCAATTACAAAACTCGATTCTGCGTTCTGCGTCTCGAGGATGTAGAAGCTGAGTTTTCCTTGCTCTATAGCATTTATATTTATTTTTCTTTAAACTTTTCAATGTTTTTTATGACAAACATAAGCATGGTTAATATCTAAAAAAATATTTTTTTCGAAAAAAGTCTGACTACGCCACTGCATTCTACACAGAAAAGTGCCTTTATAATGTATAATTTATTTTTCAGTGGTTGCTTTTAATAAAATAAACAAACTATCGAACATCTTCAAAAAGTACCAAATCTGTGAATCCCCCTGTAGCTTCGAAATCGATCAAAATAGCCACGACCCGTTTGCGCCATTGTGATTGTTTCAAAAAAAGAACCCAAGACTGCAGTGTCAAAATTTGAATATTTCTCACAGTTTCCTAGATACCCCATAGAAACAGCCAAAATGGTCCACCCTGTACAGACAACCGCTAACAGAAATTACGATTGCAGCCAAAAATTTGCGTGTATAACATTGCCTTATCTTTACACCAATTTTTCATTAATAATATCTAGTAATGACCCATCTATTCCTATTAATATCTTAGAACATTAAAAACAACTTCACACTAATTAAATAGACGACAGCTTATAATAGTGTTGGTTCATTTGACTACAAACCAATGTTACTTGTACATTAGGACCCCTATATGTTACCTATACTTATTTCTGTTAGATATGAAAGGTTTATGTTTGAAAAATCTAGCTTTAATATCAGAACTCTCTAAAAAGAAAATATTCGGATGATCGACTAAGATCTTAGCGGTTTACTATGAATATACTTACGATTTGAAGACCTTCCTGGTTGCCGTTGTAAGCTACAGTTAGCACAGTGGCACCCTGACCAAAGGTATGCAATGGTATTTGTGATATTTGATATTTTGGACTGTTTCCACCACTGGATTGTGTTACAGCTGGATTAACAACCTGGAAACGAGTTCGGAAACGTTATACTTTAAAATTCTCTAATAGGAATAGCAAATACCAGATTTATAATTCCTTAATTTTGATTTTTATAAAATATTACCAAAATAATTGAAAGAAAAATAAAAAAAGTCGAACAAAGACAAAAAAAAATATATATACAGTACGTCCCTGGATTGTCTTTAGAGAAGGAAAACTTTATTATATATATATATATATATATATATATATATATATATATATATATATATATATATATATATATATATATATATATATATATATATATATATATATATATATATATATATTATGGATATCTTGAGAAAAATTCATTCTTCATAAACATTTTTGCTTGTTCTAAAATGGTTAATCCCGTTTATACTTTTTCAAATATCAAGACTATTTTAGAAAAAAAAAACACGAAAATATGGTTGAATTTTTTTCATAAAATATGCATTTCAAACCGATACCATAGAAAGATAATAGAAAGAAACCAATACAGAGAAGTTATTTTTCTTGTCAAAGAAATTTGTTTGATAGAGCCATATGTCGCCTCCTCTTAGACATATTTCTTTTAAATAAGGGAATACTTAAAAATAATCATTAGTACTGGATCGTATCAACCGATTTTAAATCAGTTTGGACGATCCAAGTGAGACGGGCGCAACATCATAGATAAACGAAACAAGTTTAGATTGGAAAGTGCCCATAAGGACAATGTAAACACTATTTGGCGCTATTCTTGCAACGGTCGAGACCCAAAACTTTTGAAAATTTCGGAGCGGTTCGGCTTTTTCCAGAATTATATCGCCAAATATTGTTTATTGAAATTTATTATTATTTTCGTTTAATTTTATAAATAAAATACAGTGTGTGGCATACAAGAAACTTTATTTTATATAAGGACGCATGTATGAAATACCTATGAAACATTGGAAACCGACGTTATGCCACGATCCACGATGGTTTTTGCAGTTCACAGTTTACAGCACACCTTTTTAAGTTTTTAATGCCACTTTTTCACAATTATCACCGGTTGGAGTAAATAAAACTTGAATTAAACTCACAAGATAGCAATAATTACTTTGAAAATGGACGCTATAAACACTTTTCGGAATTTCTTTAATGAGAGCGGTTTAGATTTTGAAAGATTATTATGATTTTTGAACATAGACTAATTTTTTGAAGATTCTGACTTTGACAAGAGAAAATTATTTCTGTTTTTGTTTGCCGTCGTTCTTAGCGACCGCTATAGCAGCGCCAGATCGCGCGTATAACGGTCGCGACCCAAAATAATTTCGCGACCTAAAATTTTTACGGGCTTTCCAATCTAAACTTGTTGCGTTTATCTATGCGCAACATCCAAGTGTATTTTATCCCAGTACACTTTGACGGTGTCTACCAAGCTTAATACCTATACTACCCAATATTTCTAAATAAAATATAATATTATTTACCTGAATTTGTACGGTTTGTTGGGGATCACCAGGCTTGGCTCCGGGCATTGTTATAGGCAAAGTTATCACGGTTTGACCTTGCTGCGCGGAATTGGGAGAGTCTGGTCTTCCTGACGCAGACTGGGCAAAGATATTTGCATCCAATGGACGAATATAATGTACCCCATTTTCACCTCCTGAAAAGTAAATACTTAAGTATTCCTTTAACAGTGTAACTGATTTGATATTGATATTTACAGATGCCCCATTTTCGTGTGTTTTACATATGAGTAGAGGTACAAAGATGCGGTTTTCAAATTACTTCGCCCTGTATTTCAGGACCTAAGAGGGCTAGGACAAATATGTGTGTAGCATCTTTAATTTAATAAAAAAAGTAGCACAGTGATGTGAAAACCGCATCTTTGTATATACTCATAAACGAGAAATCTCTTAAAACACGAAAATGGAACACCCGTTATTGATAGAACTTAAAGACAAAAACATTTAGTAATATTTTAACCGGCCAAAATAAATCGCTGTAAATTACTTTCAAGTTCGAAATTTAGCCGCTAGGAGGCATTGAGGAGTTGAAATGCCAATTTGCTCTTATATTTCTCTAATTGAAGTATGTTCCTTTCCATTCCTTTCTATTTTCAAAAATTATGTGCTACGAGAAGATCAATCTTTTTTTTCCATATATTTAATTCTGATTTGGATGAATAAATTTATTAAATAATCTCTCACTATAATAGCGCTGGTTCAGAATACTGACGAAAATAATACTGATTTTCTTAAAAAAACCCAATAGTATTGAAGAAATAAAGAGCTGCGCAGTCTTATGGGCGATTTCGTGGCACAAAATATGTCAGAGATGTAGCTGGCGTTACCGTTATCTGTTTACCCGAGATTAAGTTTAGCTCTGCGCCGCTGCACGCTGATAGTCGTTTACAGCACAGCGGATAAGTTTCATAGTTATGAAAAGCAGTAAATAGTAAAATTATAGCTCCAATTTGCAATTTCCAGATTATTAACCTCATTGTGTCATTACAATCTCGATTTTTTATAAAAACTTGAAAAATATGGAATCACATAAAATTCTAAATAAAAACAATAAAAAATTTCACAGAACGTACAAGTAGCAGCATCAAACCAAACATCTGTCGATACCAGACCTTTGACCAGACTTTCCTGTGCGTTGAGGAAGCATTGTAGCATTGAATTCTTACATTTATAAAATCATACCTTGAAGAACTCCGACCACTTGTCCACTAGGCGTTGTAACACTTTGTGTTATTTTGCCCGCTGAGAATTGAGTGGCTACTGGCATTGCAGCCGACAAGGGAACTCCAAATGGTGCGAAATTCATTTTAGATCAAATCTGAAAAAAAAAAGAAGGTAAGACCTAGTAACTGCATATGTATTATGTAAAATATAATTGAAGGCTTCCCTCGAATAAGGGGCTATGTAAAGTAAGTTTTAAGTAAATAAAGAAAAACGATTTTCTACAGTTTGCGTATTGATAATCATATTCAAGTGGTACTAACATCAACTTTATTAATCCCCAGATATAAAAAGTTGAACAACACAATAATAAACCAGTATTAGAGATATACATATATAATAAACTCTTGAGTCCCGGGAATAAGGGTTTATGTGAAATGTAACATAAACCCTTATGGCAGGCAACCAATTTAGATTACATTTTTTTTGTGTACAAGTTGTACATTTCTTAACCGTTTGTTTTTAATACACCTCCATTCAGTTACATTTATTTTTCGTTTTCGACCTTTATTTAATGTTTTGCAAAGCGACGGCGTGACTTGAACGTTCGACAAATTTACGATATTGAATAAAATGTGACAACATATACCCTTATTCCATGCTAGAAAAGATGATGCCGCATGTTGTTCATAGATGACGGCACATTATCGGGTATTTATTACTGCAAAAGGATAAACTTGTCTACACAGACCCTTTTTGTGCAAAAATCCCAATATCTGAAAAATGCAACATAAACCCTTATTCGAGGGAATGCTTCAATTATAAAATTTACCTAGTTTACTAATTTAGTTTATGCTTTATCGAATTCATTTTTGTCCAACAAAAAGAATAATACTATATGCTTGATACTAACTAGTAGTTAATTTTAACTACATTATCCAATCCTTTTTCTAAAGTCTGATTATCATTAAAAAACTGAAATCATACTCTTAAACTATTTTTTGACAACTTTAGCATATGTATTGATTAATAAATTCCTATTTAACAGAATGAAAATGTTTTACAAAATGTTATTTTTCTCGTTTTCACTGTCAGATATTATCACAGCCTATTCACTAGACTTAAGAGCATTTACCTAGATATTCGCTTATCTTCTTAAGTAACAAGTCGGATTCTGAGATCCATTGCAGCTCCGTTTATGAAACCTATCTAGAATGGTGCTCTGACTACCTGTATTCTTGTATAGGCTTTATGCAGTTCAGTCGATTTAAAAAATTCCGACCGCAGCGCTCGGTACGGCAGAAATCAGAAGTTTTCGCTTGTATTTCACGCAGTTCCGAGGTTGATCGCATTGAAAAATAATGGCAAAATCGTAGCTTTGTCATAATATTTAAGTATTTTAGTCTTTAATAGTGTAGTTATTGAAACTATAAAACACTCAGGTACGAGGTTTGTGAGATGTAACGCTGTTTTGGGTAGTAAAAATGAAGCGAAAGAGAGCCCGACCCTGCTTCGCTTTGCGTTGTGACAATTTCAAAATTATCGAAAAAATGTTAACACGTAAAGGAGCATGATTACGTAGTTGGGTGCAATAGCATTCAATAATTCAACTTTCCTGGATATTCATCTCTCCCGCAACAACATTTTATAGCTTCACAACTTCTCACACCGATTTGATCAAAAGCGAAAATTGATTCAAGCAGCTCGACGAAACAAGTGAGTAAACAAAGTGCCCATTACATAATCAAAAAATTAAATAGGCATATACTATGAGAGGAAAAATTATAATTTGCAATATCAATGGTATACTTGTTTTAATCAACTAGTGCTTAAATTTTTTATGAATATCTTCTTAAATTATAATTATGTAATCGGGAGATTAATATATTTAACATAACAATTATGTACCTTTAAAAAAATCGCTATAACCGTAATAGCCCCAGTTATGTCTCCGCTAGCAAAGTCGGTTAGTAAAAAAGGGTAAAACTATGCTAGCTACTGTATTATTTGAACTCATCTAAAAACATTTATTGGATTGAATAATAAATTATAATACAAGTTAGACCTTCTGAAGATATCAAAATATTTAATTTATTTTTATTTGTAGGATCTTCGCAAATTATACTTCGTAACACTTTTAGATTAATTATTATATAATAAATTTTTCGTAAACTGGCTATTTAAACCCGTGTATTTGTATATGCGCTTTGATTTTTTAACATTCTCCGATGGTGGCAGCACTTGAGGAAAATGCACCAAGCGACCAAGTCTATATCCAAAAACTAGCGAAGTCGACTGGCTGTGATCAAAATAAGACAGTATAGTAAATTTTTGACTGTTCGCTTATTCTCTTTGACCATAGATATAATTGTATAGTGTAGATCACTGTATGTAGTAATTTTGAAATAAACATTCTTCATGTAAGTACCTAGTGTAAATATTTCATTGACCACGTCCTTGATATTTACATAATAATGATTCAGGACTCGTAATAGTAGTTCTTTGGAATTAAAATAGAAAATAAACCTTGATATCTCAAGCAAAACAGACGACATTTTGATTTGATTTGGAAACAATAAAGGACTAAAATAAAACCAATACTGTTTTTTTTTTAACTTTTCCGTAAATATCATAAGGTATTGGTGTAACTCTGTAATACATAGTGTTTGTCTTAAGAATTCTCACGAGCTTTTTCAGAAGTATCACGCTTTATTTTGCACAATTTTACAAAAAGCGTGAGAGTGTTTTCTATTTTCAGTAATGAAATACAAATTTCCCTTGTACCGCGTTATAGAGATAGTTGAAATGTTTTGGATCAATTCTCAATTCCTCATGAACCAATCCTCAATCAACATATTGTGTACAAAACAATTACTAGAATGTGTGAAAGGAGGGTTAATCACCGCGGCCTTTTACAGATCTATTCCCCTTTCTTGAGTTAACGAATTATAGCTCATCATACAGTCTCAGGGATTTGATAAAAGCCAGTATCTGAGACAGTTTCACAGAGGCTAGTTCTCCATCTCCGATATCAATTGTACCAAAGTTTATGGTACGAATGGTTGTTGTCTCGGCGCACTCAGTGATGAAGTATTCTGGTGTTCCTATAGACTTAAAATGGTGTTCCCCATTTTCCCCACAAAATCTGTATTTGCCGTTATTCTATCTAATTTACGAAGTGTTCGTTAAAGAGACTGTGTCCCGTTAAAAATCCGGTGACAATTCGAAAATTGTTCTTACTTAAATCAAGGAAAATCTTTAATTGAAAGTGATTTTTTTAATAAATAGGGCCATTTCAAATAAATTTTTGATTTGGCGTTTCCCTAAAAATTTATTTGATTCTACAAGGTGATCCAAAACCATAGTTTTATCGAATTTTTCAAAAATGGTCCCAAGACAAGAGTGTAAAATCTGTTGATGCACACTGCTTATGTGCTCATTCACGCGGCTTAGAGAGCGGATGAAATCGGATATTTCATGAGTAAAACTCGAATTTGAATGGAGTGTATATCACAATATTGTATTATATATACCAACTAACAATGTAGTTGCATACCAGATATATGACCTAAAGAATTTTAAGGAATGTTTCAAGTGATGGTTGTTAGGGCTGTAAACACTGTAAATAACTTTCTGTAAACGCTGTAAATAAAATATTGTACCAAAGTTCAGTGGATGATACATTGTCATCTGTTGAAATGACTGTATCCCATTAGGATAAAAAAAAGCACCACCAGTAAATAGTACCCTCTACACTAGTGAAAATAAGTATACTTTCAGGACATCGCCATTGGTTTTGGCACTAAAATATGTGTGAAATAGTATTTCAAGAGTCGGTTTACCATGTTCTTAAAAATAAAAAAATACCGGGTGCGTCTCAAAAGTGGCTCACATTTATAACTTTTTTATTTTTTCAGATAAAAAAACGAGACTTGGTATGTTAGTATATGATATAAATTAGGACTGATTTTGATTGCCGAAAACAATTGAATATGTCAATCAATCCTAATTTATGTCATATACTAATATACCAAATCTCGTTTTTTATCTAAAAAAAATAAAAAAGTTATAGGGGTGAGCCACTTTTGAGATGCACCCTGTATATTAATATTATTTACCCTTTCGAGGGCTGTAACTTCATTTAGGGAAAGCATTTAGGGTATATGCTCATGGACACCTTTTGTTTTATTTGCATCTGTAGAATCACCCACCAAAGTTAGATACGCCATTTTTTCACACCCTGTATATGTGAGGTATTCCAAACAGATATTTGTAGTGTTTGCCACTACCTGTATTACGTATTAAGAAAGTGCATTTCCCGATGTTATGGCACGGTAGTAGATTTATATTGAATTTATCTTATCTCTTGGCCATATTCTAGGCATATACGGGGAATGATATCAATTTTATTTCAAATAAAACTTTATCCAACACCTTTAAAATGTTACTTGTGTTAATATGAAAATTAAATTAGCATTTAGGAAGGGCAGTTCAACGATATGTTAAGTCTTAAGCTTACTACATACTAGTCAGCTTCGGAACTAAGGGGGGGCAGACCGGGGCACCTGCCCCGGGCGTCAATGTCAGGGGGCGCCAAAATCATAATATAATATGGTTGAAAATCAAAAAAATTGCTCCACAAAGCGCCTAGCATGCACCTTACCTTCTTCTATCAAGTATTCATTTTACTTTAAAACGCCCAGTTAGTTTTTGGACACATTCTAGAGTTTCATTCAGAACCTCGCAATTAGTGGAATAAATTAGCGGTTTCAATTAGCGTAGAAGATTGTCCTTTAAACTTTTTAGTTTACGATCATTCACAATGTTTAAAAAACACAATTAAAATTAATAGAATATCCTATCAACAGCTTGCGGTAGTCAGTTGTGTCCTTAAAGAAAGCCCTTAGAAAGCCAAATATTTAGCTTATAAAACAATAAACTTTTGATTTCTAACCACGATTTCTCTTGACGGATGCTAATCAATGGCCAAAATGACATTTCCCGCAAAATTTGAAGTATAATTAGTGGAAAAGTCAAAAGTTTGTTTACTTTTTCTACTAATTGAAAATGACTAGGTACCACTAATTTAGACGTTCTGAATGCTTACATTGAAATTAAAGGAACAAACTTCTTCGCTAATTGAAACCACTAATTTAT